TGGACGGTGGAAAGAAAGGAGAAAGCAAAGAGGGTTGCTGCCCAATTGAACGAGAGAAATGAAGGGGCTACTGCCCAATCAGAAAGAAGAGAAAGAGCGAGTGACCAATCAGAGAGAAGAGAAAGGAGGGGAAAGGAAAGAGGTGTAGAGCACCCAAACGTGACCCGTACACCTACACACCCAACCTAGTTTCCACCCGGAAGGTGTTTAGGCGATTCTTATCCATTTTCAAGCGAGTTTCACCCATTCACCACCACCAAACTCATCACCACATCCCAACATCCATTTCTAGCTAAAATGGACACGAATTGGTTGAGATTTTGACAAAGAAATACCCTATGAGTGCTGCGGAAACCCTTGCGCAAGATCCACCAATTCTAAAACGTATTCCTTCAATTACTACCGCCATTAGACTCCCCTTGAGGCCTAGAACAAAGCCCAAATAACTATAGGGGCGGAGCACCATAGGTGATGGATCGAAGCCACCTGTTTCTAGGGTTTCCGACGATTTTGAGGGAAATTGGAGCTTTTCTTGGCCGAATTGGACTTCGACCCAGGTATGAAAGTTGTTCCTCTCATTGAGATCTTCATTCCTGTAAAATTTGGGAATTTTTGGAGTTGTTTGATTTTCCAGCAAGTCGGGGCGACCGATCGCTGCCTGTGGCGGCGGGTGGCTAGTGAGCCAACGTTGCCTTTTTAAGTTAAATTCGATGTTCTGATTTCAATTTGATAACCGTTTGTTATAATTCGATAGTTTGAACTAGTATGGAATACTACGCCACTTGACCATTTTATGATTCGACGATCCGACCATTGGATCGTCAGCAAACTTTAGTAGGTTATAGTACGTAATATTTGAAGACAAAAGGAACTTACAGATTGGGAATCCGACGTACGGATCTTCCCGAATTGGATTTCTAAGTTTGTAAAATCAAATATCGACTGCCACTTGATTTCATGATTGGCAGAGATCCGACCGTTGGATCTCGATGAAATTTTAGTTTGTTATTCTAAAAGTACAGTGTGGACTTTAGGAAGTTACGGATCCAAAATGTATGGGTGGACATTCCAGATTGACTTGTATAGGGTTGTGGACCCTCCTTAGCGTATTTTGACGCCCCGATTCCAAATTCGCACTCCGTTTTCCCAAATTTAGTTGTTTTAGTGGAGTTATTAATGGGTCCTAATATTATGCTTAGGTGCAATTATTATCGATGACTTCAGCTATTCTAGTTCGACCAGGTTCGACTCGACGACATGATTTATGAGTGGGTCTTTTCTTTTATATAGTATATGCGTATTTGTTAGTTTCCATTTATACATTGAAAGATAATTTACTACGTATTCCTAGCTTAAACTAATGCTTATAAGAATTAACGAAATAACGGAAAATTACAAAGTGATCATAAATCCTATGGGATACATAGGTATGCGTATGTTTATTGATGCCATGATTATACCTACGGTTATGAATGATATTATGTTGATTAGAACTACCAAACCATTATGTCATGACTATATTTATGTTTTATGCTCATCGTTTGCTGCACCGGTGTTAGTGCTCGCCCAGGGCCATGGCCAGTCTTCCACGTGTATGTTCACATCCGCACCGTACGCTCGCCTTGCATCCAAGTAGGTGCCAGTCCTGTCGTACAGGTTGCAATATGCAACTTCAACTCCTATGTGACCACGAATAGCGCCAGTCTTCACGTGATTATAGCACTAGAGCGTATATCATTATTATACCCAATCATATTCAAGTCAAAATAACTCTACATGAACTCGTGTGTTAGCATGTGTCGATGAGCACTTGGTTTGATATGTTTGCTTATGTGAAAGTATACGATTATTGACGTCATGCAGTTATATATGAACTATTGTGCTGTATTGATATCTTGATATTTTGCAATCTACAGTGAGTATTTTCATACTATATGTAGTATGTATATCTTGGAAATTATACATGTTTTACGACAAAAGGTTATAACATTTTCAAAGGTTTTTATTAAAACTTTATTTTCAAGCCCACTCACCCTTATTTTTCGCCCTTATAGGTTTTAGTAGCTGAGCTTTCTTATTGACGAGAATTCTTGGCAAATCTTGATGTAGATGATTACCTTCGATGATATAATTTTCATCCTATCTTATTGTACTGTACTTATGCTCTGACATCACGTATGAAATGGCTTCATTCCTGCTCATAGCGCACTCTTATATTTAGGCACTTTTAGGTTTAAATTTATTCACATTTTCCACATCACTACACTTTATGGTTTCATCATCTTTCAAGTGTCGGCTAGCACAGCTCGATTCGGAATCCTAGTGGATATTCCGAATCAGGGTGTGTCAAGAAGAATCATGTGCTCATGGATATTAATTTTATACAAAATGAGCATGTGGTCTTATCAAGTTTTGGTCTGATGTGCAGAATCGAAGCTTTTCCATAATTTAGCCGCCCATCCCTAAAACTTAATTCTGCATTCGAAATGCATATGCTCATTTCCTTTTCTTTGTTTACAAACCCTATTAGTTGGTTTATTTATCATTTACTGAACACCCTCATATGGTTTGGGAGAAAATTATCAATTTAGTAATGATATATATAACTTTTAATAAGGAAGAGAGAACATTTTATATAGCTTTTATCTTATCTGAGGAACGGAGATAATATTTGTAAATTAATTTACTATTATACGTGTGAGGGAGAGAATTCATGATTTTTATTTTTTTACATAACAATGTACTGCGCTCCAGTAATGTTACACAGCAAATTAATACATGCACAAAACCAGCTAAAGGAGACAACAAGAATAATGTCACCATGGATATGTAAGAACTTGTTTGGTATTCTACTTGAATTCAACTTTTTAAATTCAAAAACAATTTTCAAGTTTTAGGTCTTAAAAATTTGTTTAGTATGACTATTTTAAAAAACTAAACTCAAAACTAACTAAAAAATATAGTTTATTGTCTAATAACATAAATAGTGAGTTTTTAATCTTAAATTCACTTCTTTCTTTTCTCTCCCTCCTCCCCTCTCACTCCAAATCTATCTCTCTATCTTTTCTTCTCTCTCTCCTCTTTTTTTTTTACCTTTTTTCATCTCTCCTCCAATCCCTTCTCTTCATTCTCTTGGTTTTTTCTCTCACTCATCTTCCTCTCTATCTCGTCCAACCCTCTATCTTCTTTCTCTTTCATTCAATCATCTCTTACTTTATTTCCTTCTCTCTCCTCTTTCTCCATCTCCTGCGGCCCCTTCTTTTTAGATCTCTTTGTCTAGTTTAAGTTGTAAGATTTAAAAATTTTAAATCGCAAACCAATCAAGTTTTTTAGTCTTAAAAAAAAAAATTCAAGAAATGTTCTTAAGAAATGTTTTGAGAAATGATAAAAAATTTCAAATAATATACCAAACAGGCCCTAAGTGTTGTGTGTGTGTGTGCGTGTGAGTGTGTGTAGGAAACAACAAGAATCATGTCACCATGGATATATAAATGTTTTGTGTGTGTGTGTGTGTGTGTGTGTGTGTGTGTGTGTGTGTATTTTATTTTTTTTAACACATAAAAGGAGCATGTGATCGGTTCCAGAATTGTAGTTTTTTTTTTCCAGCATTAAGCTGCCGCAGCTGAAATATAATTTGTGTATTCATTTGTTTCATGCATGATAATGTAGAGCTGAGCCAGCATCAATTTCCAATGCAGGAATGTGTTGTATACATATAGTAGGATAGGAGAAATATCTACTGCCTTAATGCCTCCTTGTCTCCAAGATTACACCAACACCACCATAACGATACATGCATATGTAGTTCTATTTACAATTCAGTGCCACACTAATTCATAGTTAAAGAACAGGCAATTTGCCAATTTGGAAGTAAATATATATATATAATTATACAACCTCGACCTTAATATTATGAGATTATGATCTATTCCAAGTCTCTTCAACTATGATATATTCATGGCCTGTAATAGCGGGCTAGCTCCTAGCTAGTGTATGAAATGTTGAACAAGCTCTATAGCTCAGTTGCCAAAAAATTTAGGGGATTTTGTTGATCTTATTAGTGAGACATTCTCGGCTCTTCTTCTCAGTTTATAATTTTAATTAAATTAGTCATGACCCTTTGGATTCTGAGAAGCAAACGCAGACACGCTCATGGATCAACTGCAAAATTAACTCTAGTTCGAAAACCACTGCGTCAGACCGAGACATATGCATATGAGAAACATTAATTTGTACATCAGACACCGTATATAAAAAGAACATTAACTACAGCTAGTAACCGATCCATCACATTGGTTGACACTTACGAGGGATATGGAAATATCAGTTATGAACTCATTGGTCATCATGCATGATGTTGGGAATATGCAACATAAACAACAAGTGCAGCAGAGTAACGTTGTAAGGGCTGATGAAGACTGTACCCGCTGTTCACGTTTCCAAGAATATGCAATGCATCACGGCAGATATAAATTATTATCAAATATATTATGTAATACATTACTTCATCAAATATCTCATGCTCCAATGGGACTAAAGAAAGTGTTTCATTTGTCTTTTTGTTGGGCAAGAAGGTTACGGGGGCCGGCATCAGAAAGTAATAGGATGATGACATCCCATTAGTTATCTGCTCGATGCCCTTTCATATGTATGAAAGAAAGCTATAGGATATTGATGACATCCCTAGCTTTCTGATGCCTCTTCATGTGTATGAAAGAGCTTAGGTGAAGTCTTTAAAAGAGCTTAGGTAAAGTCTTTAAATTTACTCAAGCAGTTAAAAAGACGTAAATAATATAAAATTTCGATTTGTAACAAAACAAATTGAAAAATGCAAAAACAAAGCCAAGCTTCCCCTCAATTCGCACTGATCTAATTAACTAATAGATTTCAGTTAAAAAAGATGAACTGTATCCAAGAATGGTTTTCCTTCTGCTACGTCAGAGGTATACTAGGAAAAGTGCCCGCGCGATGCTGCGGGTTTTTAAATCGTATAAAATATGTAGAAAGTTACTCTGTACATATACTATTTACATACATGTGAAATCTATTTACAACCCTAAAAAAAGGTTTCAACTTTGACATAACAAAAACAGTTTGGACAAATCTTAGCAAGAATTAACTAATATATATGAAGGGATCCCCTATAATGATAGTTTGCACAACTATCATTATAGGATCGGTTTGGACAAATCTTAGCAAGAATTAACTGATATGTGTGGAATTAACTAATATATATGAAGGGATCCCCTATAATAAGTAGAAAATGAAAAACCTTTCCTTCTATAAGAAAGAAAGTAGTAATGGTAACATTAGTTCCAGACATATTTTAAGTGTCGAATATAGGAGCATACTTATTAGCTATTGGATGATATCTCGTCAATAACAAATAGCCAATTTCCGCACCATTTTTCTATAGCTTCATAGTTGGCATAGTCTGAGCTAGTAACAAATCTCTCCACTTCTTTGAGATAGTTTTGAGCAATCTGTGATTCCCATGAGACACCTTTGCCTAACATCTCAATGCTAAATCATCAGGAAATCCAGGAATAAGACATTGGTGCAAAAATTCTCTATATTCCAAAAGATTGTTAAATAAAATCAACCAAATACTTGAGTACCAAAAAAGAGAAAACTACATGCATATAGAGCGGTAGATAAGATAAAGGTCAGTTCTTTGCGAAACCAACATTGCATTTTACCCAAAAAAAATGATATAAAAATAAAACCCAACAAAATAAAAGATGAGTATATGCAGTGGCAGTCATATAAGAGTTCATTCATCAGCTGAAATTTGGTGTTTCAAATTGGCCCATTCATCATTTCTATAAAATTTATATTATGGCATTCCCACGTGGCAAAACTAATATGTTAGTATTAATAAACTGAAAAGCTATATCATTGTGACCCGAGTCAACTTATCCAATCAGAAAAGTAGTGTAATATCTTTAGTAGAACATAACCTGGTCAATCGAGCAAGTTTTGTGCGAAACTCATTGAAATTCCTTATCATTGAGGCAAACTTGTAGCTCATTATCTGCACATTGATGAAGCCGTTCCAACCCAGACTCATCTTCACCTGCAGATCGTAAGATCCATAAAATAGAGTACAATTCCAACCCAGACCCAAACTCATTTATAGGTTTCGACAAATATAAATACTATTACATAAGTTGGTTACCATTGGAATTGCATTTTTTGGGGGCTGACACGATGACAAAAATTAATATTTTCTAAAAAACATTAGTTTCATAACAACGGGACGTATGTATTTGATTTGTGGTTGTATAACAAATATTAACAATGACAGTAAAGTTGGTTTCACAGATAGATGATTAAAAGTGCCTAAATTTAAAAATACCTTGAGTTATATGGCAAAATCTCCATTTATATCCCTGTAAATCTTTTGGTGTTGTATTCTGTATTGATGGTTGCTGAGACATGCCCTGTAAAAACATTTGTAACATGAGAGTAAAGTTTGAATAAGTATATATTTAATGGTTGAGTAAGATTATTGAGCTAAAATTCATTTTCTGGAAAAAAAGTGTGCTGCTGTACAGTTAAAACACAGGTCAAACATTCACAAACCTGAAAAGAACTAAATAGCAAAATGATAAATGGTAACCAACTGAAATCCAAAGAGAAATCTACCAAATGAAAAATTCACTGTAAAGCTGAACCACTAAGGAATTGGAACTTATTTTGTAAAAAAATTGTTGAACCAGCTACAACTCTTGGTGTTGGCAACCTCAAGCATTGTGGCAACTCTTCTGTTCTCATCATAAAAAATGGCTCCTTTTTGATAAAAGAGAGTATCCATCAATGCATTGCTGCTCAGTGCCCAAATCAGTGAGAAAAAACAAATTCAAAGGTTTAAATGGAATTCCAAAACAATCCCAAAATGGGCACCCTAGAATTGTGAAGATAATGTCTTTATCAAATTTTCAATTAATTACAGCAAAACCCAAAACTCAAATAGTTTTAATGAGCTTACAGGACCACTCATCAGCAAGCTCATGGCTCTTGGAACCTAACACCAAGGTCTTCCAACCTCTTTTCACGGTGGCCACCATAACCTGTTTGCTCTCTGTCCACACCCGCACCCTCTTGGACTCGACATACATCGCCGAAGACAATGTCCTAGAAGGCCCAATAATGGCTGCAGAAGTAGAGTTCTTAGCAATCATTTAATGTATGTGTGATGAAGTGAATTTGCAAATGATCCATATATCTGCAAACATTAATCGTATCCAGTGCACAAGGCTCCCGCTTTACGCAGGGTCTGGGAGAGGTAAATGTCGGCTAGCCTTACCCCCATTTATGGAGAGGCTGCTCCCAAATCTGCAAACATTAATCAACAACAAAAAAATATAACAAAATGATAGTTAAATTGACTGAAAATATTCATTTTTTTATATTTTGATGAGCACATTGAGCAGCGAGGATGCACAGTAAACTATGGTTTCAGCCCAAGGAAGTAGAATGCAACACAGTAGCAACCATCTTCTTCTAAGGAATGTTGGAGATACAATCTAGGAACCATCGAAGGTATTCAGGCTAAAGAAAAACACCATCAAATCTCAAAAAAAATAAAGACAAAGAAAAAGTCTCAAAAACAGTTAATTCAGTAGAACCTAATTGAACACTCATAAATTCAAGAATCCATGTCAATTATATTCATATAATTTCCAAAACACAGCTCATCTCAAGCAAAATAATCCAAGGAATCCCTTAGGACTCTGTTAATACAAAGCTCTTAAAGCTTTGGTCAAAGAACCTAAAAAAAAAATAACCTTGTCCAGTTCTCTAATTGAAAGCCAATTGCAGGCTGCAAAAAGAGATTTATCTTATTTTAGCAAAATGAATTCCAACTGGCCACAAACCAATGCCTTGACCAAAATGAATTCCACTTAAGTGTCAACCAAATTTGCAAACATCTAAGAGTTCTTCGATTCTTCCAATGCAATGTTAGTGAAATAAATTCGCACGGTATTTTAAGCTGTAAAACAATCACCTTGCAAATGAATAGGCACATCTGATTCTTCCAAATACTTCCACCTCCATCCTAGAATTCGTCCCGTGTCATCGCAAATACATGTAAAAAATCCAAGAAAATCAAATGCTAATGAATCCAACTCTACAAAGTCTATGCAATGAGTCAAATAAAATGTAGCATATGATAAGATCAAATCCACAACCTGGTATTGAAATTGCTCATAGATGGCCAAGTCAGTTTTCTCTTCACATATTCCCATTTGCTGCCACACGGGAATCACTACTCCCATTACTCATAGCTCCAGCAGTGGACTGCCCGTTCTGCTGCGGCTCCGGCATTTTCTTTCTACCAAACTTGGCATCATAAAACAATTTATAATCTTAAAAATATAAATAATTTTAGATGAGATAAATCCACGAATTCTTTAGACAATCATATCCATCAGATCAAGATTTGCAACTGCCAATCTGTTCAACCAAAATTTAATCCAAATCTACTAAAACTCTAAGCATGTAATTAATCCCAAAACAAAAATTATATTAAAATAAATTTGAAAACAGAAGCAAGCAAAAAAACAAAAGCAAACAGAAGGTTTGATTTTGTTTGCATATAAAATTAAAAAAGTGCTTGCATTCAACATCCACGTTATGAAGGCAAGAAGTGGATTGCGTTCATATCAGCCACATCATACCCTTATCTCAATCATTACTCTATCTAAATCCTAAATTTGTAGAAAATGCATCGAAATAACATAGTGGTACATTGTGTTGGTACAATTATGTAGACACGTTATCATTGACATCCCAAAGTTTTCGTGTATACATTTGAAAAAAAGAAAGGAGAAAAAAGTGCAGAGCAAATACCTATGAGGAGTGATATCAGAGATTTCGATGGGAGCCCAAGACATCAACGTACTTCCAACACAAAGCAAGCTTCCTTCATAGTCCAGACCATTATTTGTACCTTCACCAGCAAAAATGGTAGAATTGTAATAATCAGTGGTTAAAGTTGAATTAATAAAAAAATTAATTAAGGAGTAGGCAGGTACCATAAAAAACATACTGAAAAAATTTTCCAACCCCCTCCTGCACCAACAAACTGTGTATCTACAATTTGATAGCGTTTCTACCAAACATATACCAAGTCGCATTAATGATTATTAAACTTGACCCTACTACATATGAAATTTTACCCATCACTTTAACAAAAAACTTTTACAAATCCAAAATAGCGTAGATATCACTCTTCCAATTTTATCACCACAACCTTAAATCTTATGAATCGAACATAACCATTACAGAAAATCAAATAAATAGAAGCTATGGATTTAAATAAAATTGCTGGCACAAAAATCAGCAAGAAAATATGCATCACCAATTAACAACCCAAAGACGCACAAAAAAAGTCCCAAATCACCAAAACAAAACCAAAAAAAATAAAAAAAATTCAGCCGAAAAGAAAACAAAGGAAAAAACAAATAATACATTTATATACCTTTAGCACAGAGAGTTCCAAGAATCAAAATCGAAAATCCAAAACTCTGAAAGGGACTGTTTCTCGAATCTGGCAAACAAAATGCATCAGACACACACAACAACGATCCAACGAAAAACAAAAGATCGAAACCATATAAGCTGATAAACATGCAAAACTCACCTGGAAACGCCGGATTAGATCGGTCGCAAGATGGGCACAAAATTTCTGAAATAAAAAAGCAAAGCACATGAGATATTAACAAAAAAAATCCAAAAAAACATGGAAAATCGAAACCCCGTGCGGTAATATACATGTAAAACTTACTTGGAAAACCCGGATTCAACGAACCAAAAACCCAAAAAATTATTGGAATCGAACCAAAAAGGCAGAGAAATTAACAACTGTGACCACTAATCGAAGAACAACTAAGCAAAATGGTCCGCGTTTTGAACAACGAAGCAACACGATGAAGAAAACAGAAGCAAAAGCGGAGAAAAAAGGACGGCCAGAAACAAAGCAAATGGAGATATGCAAGAGAGAATAGGCGAAAGCAAAAGAAAGATCCAGAAATAGAGACCTCGATTGAAGAGAAATGGTGAAGCCCTTCCTAAATCGAGCGGCTTGGTGCAGAGAAGAGTGAGGCGAGGAGGGATGCGGTGAGAGCAGGAGTCGAAAAGGTGGGTTTAGGGTCTGAAACGGTGGGGGAAGCATCTAGAGAAAAGCTGGGTCGAGATATAGAAAGGAAGGGTAAAGTTGAAATAACAAAAGCGAAGCAGGGATGGAAATGGGAGAACACTGTTAATGAACAGTGATTTTTTTCTGTTGGGTTTTAGTATATGTATAATGTCATCAGTGTGAATGAATGGTAAAAGAAATCATAAGTTGAATAATATGATTTAATTCAAGCTGGTGCTACTTCCATTAGAAACGACATTGAACTCATAATATATTTAGAACAGAGATTATAAACACTATTTATGAATACAACAGGAGTATTTAGATTTAAATTTTAATAGAATAATATATATGTTAACAAGAAAATGTCATTCTCACCTCAAATCTAACTTTATTTTACCTTGGGGAAAAATGATACTTGCCATTCCTCCAGGGCAATATATCATTCAATATACGCCTGAATTTTATGAGTTATCAAATCTATTATTTTCTGATCACATAAGGGCTCTAAATCATACTCTAAATGGGATCAAATAATCAACCAAATAATTCCATATGTACTATATAGCTATAAGCATTTACTGATGGTTCAAAACCTAGCTAATATCATATCGTCATTTTTACAATGGTATTTTTACATTTCGAACTTCTTCTTAGAGCTCATTAATAATAATTTCGTTTTTAGTTTTTGATTTTTGTGTTTTGAGATAGGAGAAAGTATAAGAGAAATGAGGAATCAGTTAAGGAAGAGAGTTATTGGGAGGGAAGAGGAAGAAATGAAAGAGAATATATGATAACTGAAACTTGTAAGTAAAAACAAATAAATTATGTTTTTGGATTTTGGTTTTTAGGTTCATTTTATTTCATTCTGTCGACATTTCTTTTACCATGCTTCCTCCACCCACCTTCTTTCTTCCTTTCTTTCACCTATTTTCTTCTATTTGTTACCCAAAAGACAAAAAATAAAAACAAAAAAGGAATAATTATGAAAAAGGTAATGCTAGAGGAACCAAATTTTATAAACTAAATAATATGGTTATTAATAATTGAATTATTAATTAAATATTAGTTAATGTATTTATGTTATATTGGTGATCTATTGTTTGGTCTAAAAATTTGATTTAAAATTTTAATTTTCCTAACAATATCTTTATAAACAACCCTTAATTATGTAAAGCTAACTCTAGGTTACACTCCACAATTTTACTAAATACACTGAAGATTTCATACTAAATGTCCTCATCATTTCACCCATAATTATAATTAAAGGATAAATCCAAATGAGAGGTCAAGGTAAGAGCACGTACCTGTCCACTGCAAAGTTAATTTCAATAGGAAAATACTACTCCAAGTCTCCAATAATTTAATGAAATGACACAAATCAGATAGCCATGCAGAGATAACCACTGTCTATCTTAAAGTTAAAAAAAAAAAAAAATTGATGTGAAACCCTAGGAAACATCAATAATTTGGTTTGGTGAGATGACACAAATCTCTTACAAAGTTAAAATTTCAAGAGGAAATCTAATTCAATGATTCGGTGGTGAGATGACTCAAATGAGAGAACCAAACAGAGGGCATCATTTGTCTTAGAGCAACACGTGTCAGCGTAAGCAGCAACATATGTTTCATAAACATTTTGAGTACCTTAAACTAAATTAAACCAAAGAATACATTACAAATTTAAACGGAGACATGAATACTACAAACCATTCGTGCTCACAATTTAATACTGGCTATAATATTATGATGTTGATCTTGGCATTCTAACCACCATGAAGAGTACGTGGTGTGTGTAATATGTTACATTTCTTAATCCCTTTATATAGATCTGGATCTCAATCTCTATGTTAAGCATTTTGTTTAATACAATTTCGGTGTTGAAGCATCTCCCAAAATTGAGACAACCCAGACAAGACAAGGCCAGCTATTGGAGGTCTGGTCTGCCACAATTCAATAAATAAAAAATGAAGGCTAATGTGGCACTTGGGGAGGCAAAGTTGGTGATGACTCTTGAAGTTTTGCCACAACAATTGAAACCTAAAGATATTGCAAATTATTGAAGCAATAATGTTACCTAAAAAAGAGACAACGTAACCAAAACTCGAGGCGTGCCCACTCTGGCTCCACATGCTCTCCATATTGAATTCAGAAGTCTTGTCTCTCTCACCTTATTCCAGCTATATAGGCATTCTCAAGAGATGGTGAAACCAGACACCTCGAACTTGAGATCTTTGAAAAACAAAGAACAACCTCATCAACTTTGAGCTTTTTGTCAAACACAAATTAAAACCCTAAACCATGGCTGCCAAGTACAATGTAATCAGATCAATCAGCTTGCCCTCAAGGTCACACCCCACCACTATTAGAGTTGAAGAGGAGCTGAGCAAGCTCCAAGCATCTTCATCTTGTGCTTCAACTTCAAACTCAATCTGCAAATCTATATGTGGTCTAGAGGAGTTGTATGAGTGTGTGGATGATCTTTTACAGATGGCATCAACCCAACGGCTCCTTTCTCAACATCAACAGCAGAAATGCATGGATGATTTGTTGGATGGATCAGTGAAGCTCTTGGACATATGTGGTATCACAAGAGACACCATTTCAATAATCAAGGAACATGTTAGAGCTCTTCAATCTGCTCTTAGGAGGAGAAAAGGAGACTCAAGCCTTGAAGGCTGCATTGCCAATTACACTTGTTTCAGAAAGAAGATGAAGAAGGATGCCAAGAAATTGATCACATCTTTGAAGCGAGTAGATAACAAAATTGACGCATCACAACTTTTAGAGCAAGACCACCATCTCACCGCTGTGATTCGAGTTCTTAGAGAAGTTTGTGTTGAGAACATGTCTATCTTCCAATCACTCTTGGTCTTTTTAGCTGTTCCTGTTTCAAAGCCAAAGGTAAACAAGTGGTCTCTTGTATCAAAGTTCATACACAAGGGAGTGATAGCATGTGAAGATCAGAACGAAGACATTATTAGCCATGAGTTGGATGGTGTTGATGCTGCCCTCTACTCTCTATCCAAATCTTCTTCAGCTGATGTTGGGAAGGTGCAAAGTACACAAAAAAGATTGGAGGCTTTGGAAATCATCATTGAAGGCCTTGAGAATGGTTTGGACAGCGTTTTCAGGCGCTTGATTAAAACAAGAGCTTCTCTTTTGAACATAATCTCACAATGATGTTCTCTCAAAGGCCACATTCATTTATCCCAAAATCCTCCAAGGCATCCGCATTTTATTAGGATCCCTTTGGGATTATAATTTTTTTGATACATTTGTATATGTATACATATAGTCACACAATGCAATACAGTTGAGACCCAAGTTTTTAATCTTATCATGATATTTGTTTTTTGTCTTTTATCTTTTAATTGTTATGTACATGCAAGGCTATCAAACTCTAAAAAACTAACACATGCAAGGCTAATGAAACTTGTACGGAGAAATAATTTGATTTTTAAGGAACAGTAAGAAGATCAATGGATAAACGTGATTAGAACACCTACAAACAATACACATTCTTTCAATAGTGGGCAAAAGCTTCTTGATCTTGTTTAGTTTTGGGTTAGTATCTGTTGAACATTATTCACTTCATCTAAGAGTTCGCCATGCTTTTTCATATTTATGTGTAAATATTACGTACGGAAGCCCAAATAAGTTTTGAGTACCCTTCACTACTTAACTCTTTATTGGTTTCATCAAATTAAAATTGAAGAATTAGATTTTTTTTTCTTCTTAACGTATTGCTATTCACACACTCTTTTTTACTTTTCACGGACATTTGTTAAATTTTTTACCCTTGTTAATTTTCTTCAGTTTATTTGATCTAATGGCCAAAAATTGAGAGAAGTGTGTCCTGTGTGAGAAGTAAAAATGGATGTTGTGGAGCCAAAATATTCACTAGGCGACACGTGGACTTTTGGACAAAAGAGGACAAAAATACCCTTGAGGCATACCAGGATTCTTACGCGCGAGCAGTGGGCAATCATCTTTCAATCAAGTCAAAAGTGCCCAAAAAATGTAACAATTAAAAACCTCTTTCATCAAATTCTTTCTATAAGGTATTTCCCAAGACCTAGTATTTTCTATTTCATTATTTAGCTAATCAATTAGCTAAATAATATATACCTACCATATCTCCTAAAATCATCCTTAATAGTCAATAAAATCACCCAAATTAATAGCCAAAGCGGGCCACCACCATTCCCATCCTCACATTTCCCATTTTCCTTATTAAAATAGTCATTCATTTTTATAACCACCCATTTATTCTTTTCATATTTAATTAGCCAATAAATTGGCTAATTAAACATGAAATTGAACCCCACAAAAAACCTTTATTGGCCGAGTTTATTCAAAATTGGGCAAGGCCTAACTCTATAAATAGGCACCTATTCTCACCAAAAATTCATTCCAATTCTCTTACAAAAAATCACAAATACTCTAAACACTATTTCTCTCTAAAATTCTAACTTTGACATCGGAAGTTCTTCGGCCAAAGCCCCCCATTCATCGTGGGCGCGTGAGGCTTTTGGCCTTAACCTAAGGTGCTAGTTGTTTTGTAGGTGCAAAATCGTCCAAGATCGAGAAGGAGAAAATTTGCATCCACAAATTGGTGCTTTCATTGAGAGTTGAAATCCATACTCGTAAAAGACTCTCGCGCAAAAAGGTTTTTTCTTTGTTTTCTAGTCCATTTGAATATTTTTCATACGTGCTTATTTATAGAATTTTTTACTTGCAAAGGTTCTTTGATAAAACGTAGAAGAAAAATATAATGGCTAGAAATTTAGAAAATTCCACAAGTGAAAATTCTAATATTCAAGAAATGGGATTGCGGAGATCCGTGAGGCAAAATGCGACAATAAGGGGAGCAGCATCACCACCACAAGTTTCCACCATGGGAACCACCGCGGTGGCTACCTTGGTAGCCACCCGCGGCGAGGTCCATGGTGCCTTCACCACGGCCACCATGGGAACCACCGCAGTGGCTACTTCGGTAGCCACTCGTGGCGAGGTCCATGGAGCCTTCACCACGGCCCGAGCCGTGCCATCCAAGGCTGACGGTACCAAGACCACGACCCAAGCCGTGCCATCCAAGTTTACGTGGACCCAAGCCCAAGCCTCGCATTCACATGCACCGCGCATTGAGCAGCCTGCTCCCGTGATCCACCCTACTCTTGTAGCCCAGCCTGCTCCAACGATCCAGCCTGCCCCAGTGATCTAGCCTGCTCTCATGGTTTCCCAAGCTGCCCAAGTCGGCCCGAGACAATCTCAACCATCCGAACCAATCATCGAGGCTGGGGCGTTTTCACCATATTTCTCTGCAGATTTGACATTCCCCAACTCAAATCTCGCACTTGGAGTCAACCACCCTTTTATTGTTCAAGAAGGTGCATTCCATCCAAGTTCTTCCAATCTGAATGGCAAACAAAACTTGTCCCGACAAGTCATAGAATTGACGAGCGCCCTGGCACAACAAACTACCTTGGTGAATCAACTTTTGCAATGCACTGAGATGCAACGCGCCCATGATGAAGTTTCCCGAAGTAGAACAAGGGTAGACAAGGAGCCTTTTAAGCAGTGTCCTGGAAAACAGCCATTCGACCCATCACAAGTCGAGCATTCAGACAGTGCACACTCTCGATTGGGCCCCCGAAATAGCGTATACTCCCGTCTTAGCGCGCGGAGGAGCGTGCACTCTCGATTAGGCCCACGGGCAAGTATACATTCACGATTGGGGCCACGCTTTGATAATTAACATGGGCAGCTTTCCAGGCAAAGCATTCATTCGCGATTAGGCTCACAAAGAGTATCCTCCACATCACATCGGAGCAGGCAGCCTAACAAACGGAAGGAAACAATTGTTCAATCCAGCTCTAGTTCAACCAGTAGCCTGCAAAGAAATCCCTCACCTGCTAGGAATCTATGTCATACATTGCAGCCACGGCGTAGACGAGCCGAGCGAGAAGAAGAACAACCTAGACCGGTAGATAAAGACTAAGGGCAGCCGAAGGCTCTGCTACCCCAACAAAAGTAAATCCAAGAGAGGTAGAAAGGCTTTTCAACGAACGGATGCATGATTTTCGACGCAACGAAATGGTTGATGAAGCACTAAGGCGAGATATGACCAACATAAGCAGGTCACCACCTTTCACGGATAAGATCGAGCAGACAGAGCCTCCGCGTAAGTTTAGCATGCTTCACTTCACATCTTTCAAAGGAGACGGGGATCCCGAAAGACACTTGAAGCATTACCGAAGTGCGATGGTCCTTTATCGGAATAATGACACCCTTATGTGCAAAATGTTCGCCACTACTTTACAAGGCGAGGCATAAGATTGGTTTAATACCTTGCCGGCACGATCCATCCAGAATTTTGATGATCTTTCTGAAGGAAAAATTTTGTCCTAGCTAAGAACATTTGAATACATATGCAAACTATTAACACTTTAAAGTAGGCATGCATTCAAAAACAATTCATAAAACCCATGACTTTCAAAGCCTAGTATATGGTGAACCAATAAACTCTTTAACAACATTTAAAGAGAAGGTAAGATTTAGAGTTTCTTTACCCTTGAAGCTCATCCTTGTTTACACAAGGGATTCACCCAAGTGGAGGGCCTTCAAGTCACCTCCTTGCTCCTTGGATCTTCCTTGTGATTTTCCTCCTTTTAGTGCTCCTTTGCTTATGAGGATTTGAGGATTTGTTCTCCAAAACACCAAAAGTTTGATGTCTCTAAGTCTCTTCACCAAGGATGTGATTGTGAAGATGAAATGGATGACTTAGAGAAGAATAGATTGCTAGCTAAAACTCCTCTAAGTGGCCAGCCTCTTTAGAGAAAATGAGAGAAAGTGTTTCACCTCATTTCACCAAGAAAAACCCTCTATGAAAATAAAGCTATAAAGTTGAATTTATACTTCATCACATGTGAGTGGCAAACTTGTAATTAATCCAAATTTGCAACCCCTCACCCTATGGCCGGCCTTACCTTGTTATTGGGCTAATTTGCCCATTTTGTTTTAGTTGTCATACAACTTAAACATAATGGGCCTTGTGGACCAAAACGCTTTTGGGCCCCGAAACCCAAAACCAACATATAAGCCCAATACGAACATTTCGTATAACTAATTAACTAATTAATTAATCTTGACCATTCTTCAATTAAACCATTTAATTGCTTATCCATTTCATTTAATTTCTTCACCAACATCCTTATTCGGTGTACGATCCATTAGGTTCCATTTAGCAAGGTAGTGGGCGATTGTTACTCTTAACGATCGATTGCGAATTGAAACCACATTTCAATTCTCCCTTAAAATTAGTGTTTGCTAATCTTTAGGGCTTCCACAAACCATGAGTAACACCTAGCAGCATATCATGGTTACCCAAGCTAAGTAGAAGTGGTTGGAGAACCTATCCAGTTACAACTACAATGCAATACGGTCATTCTCTAATACAATACTCTTAATCACATTGTTTGAGTGATAGTTTGTTTCATGTCTACTATCCAATGTGATACTTATCTATATGATTCAATTGAATATGATTTGGAACAAACTTCCTAAGTCATATTCATATGCTTTGGCCAAAGACTTTCGAATCATATCTAAGAGTATTCTCCTTCCACCATGGAAGGTTAGAGATCCTTTATTGTGCATTCATATGCCTACACGACTAGATAGCTTGACCCCAACAATGTCGTGGACATTCTAATGGAATGCCTTTAACATGATCAAAGATCAATGACCTAACCATTAGACATCTATGATGCCTCAGGTCAAATGACTACTTTGCATATTGCAACTCTTGAGTTCTTTCATGACATGTATGTTCGAACTCTCTTTTGATCGTTGTTCAGTGTACTCGATCACTCTTTCGAGCACCTATGAGTTTGCCTTAGTGTCCAACACTAAATGACTTGAGACTTGTCATACTCGCGCTTGAGCCGACATAACACATACTAACCTTAGCGGATTGTCAATACCCAATTGGCAATCCTATGGCTAGGAACGTTTTAGGAATGAACATAAGAGAAAGGTCTCATTAATCTAACTTACTTAAATCACTTATCTCTTAGATCAAATACATTCCTTGGATTCCCTTATTGCTTAAACACAAGATACAATAAATAGTGATTAACAATAAGCTTTGCCCTTCATTAAACATATAAAAGTTTAATACAATAAGTATTCCAAAAGCTATTACATCAAATGAGTGGCTTTGTGGGCATACTTCCAACACTTTCCTTGGTTTTCACCAAAGAATACTCATCTTATCGTTCGATCAAGAAAAAGTCCGATCACCTGTTCAACGTAAAGAAAAACCCAAAAGAGTCA